ACCTACTTTGTCAAAAGTAAAGTTGTAACAGGGAGGGAACTTTGATGTGTTAACCAAGACCCCAGGATGCAGTAGACATGGAAGTCCCCAAGCCACAGCAGCACATGAGAATTTTAGACCATAGAAAATGGTCTGAGAACCATTTCTGCAATTCCCAGGCCCCTTGGCCATTCAAGGCTTGAAAAAAGAAAGTTTGGGGGCACCTGGGTGGCTTAGTCAGTTAAGCATCTGACTCTTGAATTTGGCACAGGTCATGATCCCAGGGTCATGGGATGGAGCCCCATACCAGGCTCCATGTTGAGCATAGAGACTGCTTGGGATTCTCTCTCTCTTTCTCTCTCTCTCTCTCTCTCTCTCTCTCTCTCAAAAATAAATCTTTAAAAAAATGTTTGGAGGTGGGGGATTTAGGAAAGAGATTTTCTCTAGAGAGAGCTGTTACCTCCCTGTGAATCCTCATCCCACTTCCTTCCTCTCAAGCTGTGGGGCTCCTTTTCGGGAGACCATGGAGGAGGGCGAGAAGTGCTGCCCACCATGGGGAAGTTCAGCCAACTGGAGCTTGACTCCATCAGCTTGTGACCACAGTGGGTAGGGTAGTGGGGCTGCAATGGGAGGGGCCATGCCTCTCCTGGAGTGGGGCAAGGGGTGTCAGAGGGTTGCCCACAAAGACCCTGCAGGATTGGAGGTCACCTCTGGCCTGTCTCAGGCCTCTTTCTTAGAGGGGCATAGAGCCTGGGAAGAAATGCTGGGCAGAAAATGCCACACTCTGGAGACTGAGGAAGGATCACAGGATAGGAACTGGGGGACAGGTATCCCAAGGAAGGGACATCTCTGATGAACCCACAAAATTGGCCATGAGAGAAGGAGTAAGCTTTAACCATCTGCCAGGCCTCCAGAGCAGGAGGCCATGGGTCAAGGAAGAATGGCACTGTTCCCCTACCTTTCCCTCTCTGCTCATTCCACCCTGCTGAGCAGAGGCATCACAGAAGCCCATCAGACTCCTGTTCTCAAAGGACTCCAGGCTTCGATGGGAGATTGGGAAGGGAACAGTCTTAACTGTGAATTAAGATGAAATTCCACCTTCCTCCTGTCCCCACCCCCTGCTCCAGGCCCAGGTGCTTCCAGATCTGGCTGCCCCAACAGGACCTTGAGCCTGTGAGATCAGCGACCATGCAGGAACAACCCCCCCACCCCCCACCCCACCACCAGGGACTTTTAATTCTTGGCACAGAGCCTGCCACTTCATGATGGTCCTGGCTGAGAGCCGGGATGTGTGAGGAAGGGTGAAGCATTGCCTATTAAAAGAGACTGGGCAAAACAAAGGGGAGCAGGGAGGCCTGAGACCCTTAAATCCACAGTGAATATACCTAGGGATTGAGGGGCCTTGTAACCAGGTCCTCTGCTGCAATCTTAGCACCTACTGTGCACTCAGAGCTTGACTCACACTGCAGCTGTAAGCCTATTGCACAGACGAACACATCAGGCAGAGATTGCAGACTGGTCAGTTTTTTGAAGAGCCAAGACTATCTATCATGTGCTGTCACTCCAAGGCAGACAATCAAGGCTGTGGGCTGGCCAGAGGGCTGGTCACAATTTCTTCTGTCCCTGCACCTGCTGATGGGATTTAGGGAAGATAAAAGTGGGACTTCCCAGTGCTCACTGGACACTGCAGACACAGCTACCAACTGGTACCCACAGTGTGGATGTCACCCCAGCCTGTGGCAGGAGCTGGCTGGCCAGAACATGAGTTGGATTCTATACCTGAGCCTCACCCTTTGCCTGATGGTGCAGACAGCCCTGGGTAAGCCCCAACTCCATCCTGAGGGTGTCAGGCAAGAGGGGACATGAGAGACACAGGGGCAGGCCCTCAGCTCGACCTCTCCTGGTGCAGTGGGGCAAGGGCATTTCAACAAGGTCTGGGCGGATGGGGGGGTTGTTTCGGGCACTGATCCTCCCATCAGCTAAGAGTCTAGACATTTATGTTTATATGTTAAAATATATTTTATAATTTACATAATATTATGTATTTATAATTTGTTAATTTATATTTGTATTCCTTATAAAATTAATATTATATAAAATTACTACTATATTAGTATATACATTAGTGTGTATGTATATGTTACCACCAACCAGACTGAGATCTAGAACATTTCCAGCACCCCACATGCTCCTTCCCAATCAATACCCTCAAAGTAGCCACTATTCTGACCTCTATCACAAATTAGTTTTGCCTATATAAGTGCATTTAAATTTTTTTAAATGTTTTATTTATCTTTAAGACAGAGACAGAGTGCGAGCAGCCGAAGGGCAGACAGAGAGGGAGACACAGAATCTGAAGCAGGCTCCAGGCTCTGAACTGTCATCACAGAGCCCAATCTGGGGCTTAAACTTATGAACCACAAGATCATGACCTGAGCCAAAGTCATACGCCTAACCGACTGAGCTACCCAGGCGCCCTGTTTAAGTGCATTTAAATTTTTTTATTTGCGAGAAACTTTGCTAAATCACTTTTAGCATTTTGGCACATTTTCTTTTAGTCTTTTTATTTCATGTTTGTACACAGCTACAGTATTAGCATGTATACAACTTTATACACTGCTTTTTTTCACTTAGAATCTTATCACAAGCAGCTTATAACTCTAGTTTATAGTTAAAATTTTTTTGCCTGGTCCTGTGACATAAATGATGCTTCTAGTACTCACTATGGTATATTTAACTATGGTTCATAAAGATCTTTGTTTTAATGCCTTTCTGACTCTTTTCTGAAGGGAGGGACCGGAAAGTGAAATTACTGAGTCAAAATAAACTTTTAAAAACTTTTAAAAAAGTTGGGGGGTACCTGGGTGGCTCAGTTGGTTAAGCGGGTGATTCTTAATTTCGGTTGAGGTCAGGCTCTCACCATTCGTGAGCTGGAGCCCTACATCTGGCTCTGCACTGACAGCATGGAACCTGCTTGGGATTCTGTTTCTCCCTCTCTCTGCCCCTCCCCTGCCCTCTCTCGTGTGCTCTCTAAATAAATAAATAAATAAGTAAAAACTTAAAAAAAAAAAAAAAGAAATCACTGAGTCAAAGCATGTGAACATGGCTCTTACACATTATGCCAAATTATTTCTCCAAGGCATTGTATTAATTTATCCTGCACCAACCTGTACCAACAGTATATGTGAATATCCTTTCACATATACTGTTTCTTTGCCAGAATTGGGGGCCATCATTTTTAATTTCTTAGGTGGAAGTTGTCTCTCCTGGTTTTAATTAGCATTTTATGCTTATTAAGAAGGTGGAATGGGGAGCCTGGGTGGCTCAGTCGGTTGGGCGTCCGACTTCAGCTCAGATCATGATCTCACAGTTCGTGGGTTCGAGCCCTGCATAGGGCTCTGTGCTGACACCTCAGAGCCTGGAGCCTGCTTCAGATTCTGTGTCTCTCTCTTTGCCCATTCCCACTTGCACTCTGTCTCTCACCCTCTCAAAAATAAACATTAAAAAAAAAAGAAGGTGGAATGTTTTCCTAAGTGCTCACATATTGTCTCCGGGTAGCAAGGCTGGAGTGGGGACCACTCCATGGCAGATCTTGTTCAGGGGTGTAAAGCACTCTGCCACATGCTTAGGTGTCCCCAGAGACTGGGATGAGGACAACAGAACATCACCGCTTAGAGTAGAACTCTGAGAAGAACCTCACTCTGTGTGACCTTGAGCAAGTTCTATAACCCCTTTGAGCTTCATTTTCCACATTTGTATTGTGCAATAATAACATTTACTCTCTACATTTTTTAGGAGGATGAGGTGAGATAATCCATGTAAAGTGTTTGGCACCGTGCTAGGCTATAATAAAGGATCAATAAATTATAGTTGTGGGCTAGTCAGGCTTCAGGGCAAATCCAAGTAATATGACAGACCTCTGCCTCTTTGCTGTGTCCTCTGAGACCTCAGGCTGGTTGCCGCCCCTGTCTGGGCCCTTAGTCCTCCCCTAGCTATCCCCAGGGCCAATGAGGACTTGATGTGAGAGAACCATGTGAAAGGCTGTGTAAACTGCAAAGAACTGCACACACAGAGGAGGTTTGAGATGGCCCTTTGCCTGCACTGGCCTGCCTACATGCTTGCAGGCCACCATTGTAGTCACTCCTTGTGCACAGATATTGCTTTTGTCAGACGTGCAGAGACTCGGGAACATGGACAGAGTGGTACTTTGGGTCACCTGCAGCTGGAGGTGCGAGGGTGTGCTCTACCACACCAATTCCAAATGCGGTGCCCAAAATCAATGCATCAAAATCTCACGGAGGTATTTGTAAATCTACTTTCCCAGTGCAACCCTGAGATTCTCATTCAGAGGGCAGGCCTAGGAATCTGTATTTCAGCAATGATTTCCTCAGATGATTCTGATACACAGCCAAGTTCAATAATACTCGGACCAGATTTGCTTTCTGTCATTTGCAGAGTGAGCTCCAGGGGACCAGGGTACAGAACGATTCAGTTTTGATAAGAAAGGAGGAAGAGAAATGACAGGGGTGCTTCAGGAAAGGGCAATAGATGTGAGGCAGAGCAATGCTTGGCAATAGCAATAGGGCAAGATGAGAGCTGAGAAGAGGAAGAAATGCCCATAGGCAGCCATTAAATTCAAGTCGCTCTAGTTTGTATATAGTCCAAGAGCTGGCTAAGGTGTGGATATAGGTCTAATGTATCTATGTGCCCGTGTGTAATATATGAATATATGCCACATATGGATACAATGTAACCTTTATATAACTGTACTTACATGCGCATATGTATGTATGCATATGTGTGTGCACTTAACTCTTGTATTTCTACATGCTTTGTTGTAAATAAGCTGTGTTCACATATACCTATGTATGTATAAATTTGTATGTACATGTGAGTATTACTGTGAGTATACATATGAATGAGAATGTCAATAATGTGTGTGATTTCTTCCCAGAAGTATGCCAGGTAAATGTCAGCAACAAGAAAGAGGTACTGGAATACCAATATGAGACAAGCAAAAATCAAAATAAATGACATGATTATTGACATTAAGTGATACATTAAATGACAGAAAAATAATTCATATAATAGACATGAACCTTTATGCACCTACCAACATAGCATTGAAACCTTAAATAATGAGAGAGAAAAATACTGAGAGAAACACAGAAAAGGTAGGCAAAATACACAATTGTGAAAAGCTTCAAGCTGCAACTGGTGCCATGGCAGACAGGCCAGAGTCTTTTCAGTGGCCAGAGTGACCCTTCTCCTCTCTTCCTAGGTGCTCAGCACACCAAGGAACCTCTAGTGATTACCAAATATGGGACCCTCCAAGGAAAACAGATGCACGTCGGGAAGACATCCATCAATGTCTTCCTAGGAGTGCCCTTCTCCAGACCGCCTGTGGGTGTCCGCAGGTTTGCTGCCCCAGAGCCTCCAGAGCCCTGGGAAGGAATCAAAAACGCCACCACCTATGCCCCTGCGTAAGAGCCAAATGACTGTTGGCTGGGAGGTGGGCAGACTCTAAGGAGGGGGGGTGGATCTATGCCGGCCTCTGGGCCAGAGTTTGAACAACTCACTAAAAAGAGTGCACTGTATGACTGTAAGTAGCCTGGGGTCCATTCCGGCCCTCAGTTTCCAAACCTATATAATGAAGTCGTTGGCCCAGATGATGTTTACAGGACTGTTAATGCTGTTTGTTCTTGGCTTTCTTATGGGAAAGCTCCAGACAAGGAGGAGGTGCTCACTGATGTGCCTCCAGGATCTTCTGGGAACCTAAGTTTTCCTAAAAGTATGAGAGGAGGAGTTCTCTCTGTCTCTGTCTGTCTGTGTCTCCGTCTCTCTGTCTCTGTCTCTGTCTCTCTCTCTCTCTCTCTCACACACTCACACACACACACACACACACACACACACACACACACACACACACAC